GTCAAAGCCGAATAAGAAAAAGCCTGAGAAACTTTTAGCAAGTGCAAAAACCATCCAGTGAATCATCTCACCACACTTCAACTTCCAGGCAATTTCCGTATAGAAACAAGTTTTTTAGTTTAATTGTTTTAAATATTTAAAATTTTTAATTTATTGAATATTATTCTATCACACTCTTCACTCGCTCCAGGGTTGCCAAGAGAATACATACTCCGCTTAAATGAAAATCAAATTCCTCCCTCAACACTCTTAACAGCCTATATTATATCTTGCTGCATCTCAGGGTTTGTTTTTTTGAAATTTATAGAAATTATTGTTTTAAGTACCACTCGCTTAAGTATCCGTATTCGCCTATGTGCCATATTATATTTTTATTTTTAACAAACCACGAAAATCTGTATCTTAGATTGTTGCACATAACCCGGACTGAATGTATTTGTCAAGGAATGTAAAAAATATTTTCACGCGGCTTGAAAAAATCTGCCTCGATATGTATGCAAGCTCACACACAAACATACATATTTATGCTGGTTTGGAGGCGAAGCTGGCAAGGCGGCAAGGGAAGCGGTGACAATCGGCGTCCGTTCGTTTATTTTTTTCCGCGCAGCTCGGATTTTCTACCAACAATACAATGTTGTGACGCATTGTCGCCACATTGACTCTTTGGCAAAGAGTGAGCTTCGCCAATTTCTGACCGTGTGAACGGAGATTTCTCATGAAGCATTGAGTATACATATTTACATGCATATGTTGCATGTAGACAAATTTACAAACATTATGTGTATGGTCTGTCATATTTGTTTACATGCACACTAAAGCGCTGCATGAATATATTTAAACCGCCCAACAAGACATGTGCCAGCAACGCAATTACTGAAACTCTTTGTCTCTCCGTTCTCTTCTAGAGTGCCGGCAAACACAACTAGTTGGTGTGTGTGTAAGTAAAAAGCCGATCATAACACAGCAAACTTGCGTGAACGAAACTCCAATACTTTTACACAATTTTTACTTGTCCCTAACACTCCCACACAAATCTTTGAAATGAGTAAGAAGTCAATCTGTTGTGTCATTTTGTGCCTTTTGTTTGTTTTATATTATAAGCTCTTCACTCAACAGATGTTAATGAAATATAAAACAAAAGAAGACAAACAAATTTATTAGCTGGATGTGAAAGCGTACAGAATGATACCGTGAATTTGACGTTTGTTTGTTYGTTGTGACAAATTGAATTCGAAGAAAAAAAAAAATTCGGTTACAAACGCGTCGATAATTAGAACTGTGAAGATTTGTGCTTGTGCATATTTATGCAAAATTATATGAAATAAATATTTAAATATATTTTAATTGTGTTTCTTTAATTACGTTTTTGTGTCTACAAGTGTGTCTACAAGTGAAATTTGGAAAAAGGGTGAGTATAGAAAATATAAAATATGAAGAAAAATACATTTAGTGCATAYATGAGCCGGGAAAAAAAGGCTTTTAATCTTAGTGAAATTTGTGAAAAAGATGTAAATTTTGATTGTGATCCTKATGTGGAGAGATGCAGTTCACTAAGCTCCCTTGATTTTTCTTCAAATTGCAGTGATAGCTATGTTAGTGATAGAAATAATAGTGATAGCGAAATTTTAAAAGTGATAGAAAATAATTCATTTAGTTTACAATTAAAAGCTTGGGCTTTGAGAAATAGGGTGTCCCATAATACAGTAACCGGTCTTCTGCAAACGTTGCGAAAAATAGGTTACACAGATTTACCTCTAACGGCTAAAAGTCTCCTAGGTGCCAGCCGAAAAAAAGCAAATATTCAAACGATTCCAAGTGGATCTTTTTTATATAGAGGAATTCAAAATCATTTAGAGAAAAATTCATTTCCTCAACTTGAAAATGAAAATAATATTGCGCTTGATGTAAGAATAGATGGCCTGAAAGTATTCAAGAATTCCAATAAAGTATTGTGGCCTATTCTAGCATCCATAGTTAATTTTCCAAACAAATTGCTATTTACAATTGCATGCTTTTCTGGAACAGAAAAACCTTGGAGCATTAATGATTTTTTGAAAGAATTTTGTGAAGAAGTAAATTATTAAAAAAAAAAATGGTCTTCAGGTTGGTACTTATCCTGTAAAGAAGAAATTTGATATTCGTTTGTTTTGAGGCGATGCTCCCGCTCGAGCTTTTGTTACAGTCGCACACTGGAAAAAGTAGTTGCTGTAAATGTGATCAAGTGGGTGACTACAAAGAAAGGAGAGTTTGTTTTTCAAAACAAATAAAACATTTAAGAACTGACCAATCTTTTAAAAACAGAAGTGACAGATCACATCAAATTAATCCTTTCAAATTTAGAGAAAGCATTTTAGAGTCAGGAAATTTCAAAATGGTTTCCCAATTTCCTTTAGACCCAATGCACCTTGTAGATCTTGGTGTTTCTAAAAATTTGCTTCAATTGTTGATTAAAAAGGAAATATAAACGTAAGCAATGTTAACGAAAAAATTACATTTCTTTCCAATTTAGTTCCTTCAGAGTTCGGTGCGTGTATGTAGAAGTTTAGATGAAATCAGCAATTGGAAAGCGACAGAGTTTAGGCCGTTCTTATTGTATATAGGTATATTAGTCCTAAAGGATTGCATTGGTGATGACCATTACTACTATTTCCTCTTATTGCACACAGGTATAAGGCTACTATCATGCAAGAAGTCTTATAGCACTGAAGCCAAATATATACGGTGACCATTTAGTTAGTTACAATATACATGGTTTACTCCATTTAACTGACTGTGCCAAGCAATATGGTCCTCTAGACAACTTTTCCGCTTACAAGTTTGAAAATCGCATGCAATATTTAAAAAAAGTTATAAATAAGCCCAATAAAATCCTGCAGCAATTACATTTAAGGCTAGAAGAAAGAAATATTCCAGATTTTACTTGCRATAAAATATCCAAAATTAATTCGTTTAATATAGATTTTAAAAAAGAAAAAGACTCCTATTGTTTTAGTCAAAAATTAGGCCCCATAAAAGTTACAGGCAGGACGAAGGAATCTGGTATCGCAACTTTATTGGCACACTGTTTCTTGGGTGTTGAAAACTACTTTCAAGAACCATTGGAATCGTCATCTGGTTTAGGTATTTTGTTGGCAGATAAATTGGACCCACATTTGTCTAAAATATAAGAAGACGATATAATTTATAAATATTTTTCTATTCCACATGAGAGCAAGTTTCTTCTAATTGCGATTTTACATCATCTATTTCATGAATTTTCAAATTAGTATTTTTCACTGTAATTATTGTATTGTCCCGATGGTATTTTATTATATTATGTTAAGTTATTTAAAATGAATTTTGATGCTGCCAAAGTTTTATTTCTTAATGAGATGGATTCACCATCACCATTTGATGACACCTATTTAAAATTGTCATTTTAGTTTTCAATTTATTTTTACGCATTTCTTATTATAGAACAATTGACATTTGAACGGAAGAAATTCAACATTTCTGGTTGCTACAACTCAGAGGCAAGCTTCTCAAAGCAACAAGGAAACAATTTGCCTGTGGATGGAAATGGTAATCCAATATATTGTTAAAATGCATTTCTTAGAAATTTTTACTTTATTATGTTTACACCTTTTTCAAATGTTTTTAAAAACTATTTCCTCCCAATTACAAGAGTTGTCTTCAAGAGTTGAAAATATGGAAAGGAAGATGGACAGCTTTTTGAAAGAAAATGTAAGTTTATGTCCATAAAACTTTTTATTGTTCTATAAGTATTCATAATACAAAGAAAACATATTGTTTAGATGTTGTTGATTAGGCATTATTAAAGTATTCTCTAACTGCACTTGTTCTTTTCAGATAGCTCAAAAAAGCAAAGGAATGGCCCAACAAAAAACCGTCCGCGAATGTAAGGTGCTAATTCGGAAGGTTCACCAATCAGTATGCCGACTGAGTGGCGAAGATATCGACAACACACAAACAGAAATTGCTTCCACCCTACCACTAACAACACTAGCGGCAGCTTTGGAAATGGAAGAAAAACTGAAATGCAACGGTTAGTAATGTATACAATTTCTTCAATAAATAATATTTATTTTGCATAATATTTTCAAACAGTTTGTTTTAAGGATGAGAGGTAGTTCCGACAGTATATATGTTGTGTTTCGGCATCTGTACASTGACGAATTCCTGAGTTTGTGTAACTGGGACGGTAGGGGAGGCAAGCAACCGCTATCGAAATTTCTGTTGTCCAACATATTATATGGTAAATTTAATACATACATATTTACCTAAAAATATGTATTTTACATTGATTTTTCATTAAATTTTTTACAGATTCTCTCATCACCTGTGGACTTGCGAATTTCGAGCAACAAATGCGGAAGTCACTGTTCTAACTGGGAAGCAATACAAATTGTATTTGCTTTGCAAGCTACAATTACATAGAGTGAGAAGTATGCTAGAGTAGTGAACTGTGCTTGGAGTACTTCCGGATATCTATGGAGCTGTTGATTATTGGTACACTCAATTTGCTTTGCTGCATTAAGATAATGAAAACTCGTTAATGAAACTTAAATTTTTATATATAGTTTATTTGATAAACAAAGATGAATATAATCTTTCAGAAAAAACACGGAAGGAAAGAAAATACAAAATAAACAAAAGAACTTTTTCCAAAGACAGAGAAAATAATTATAATGCGCAGGATAAAATTTGGAAAATCCTCTTTGTGACCGTCCCACCACTGAATAATGTCGAAATATTCATAAAAATCGACGTCAGTGTTTTCGTACTTATGCATTTCTTTATCGATTTTATTTTCAACATTAAGCGTTTGTCTGAAGTACTTTCGCGGAGTACTCCTTTCTGCGTTGGCGGCCTTCAGCCGCGCTTTAAAAAAATAACCCTGGCCGAGTGAATACCCGGKTGGTCTGAAGTACTTTCGCGGAGTACTCCTTTCTGCGTTGGCGGCCTTCAGCCGCGCTTTRMAAAAATAACCCTGGCCGAGCGAATACCCGGGTGGTCTGAAGTACTTTCGCGGAGTACTCCTTTYAGCGTTGGCGGCCTTCAGCCACGCTTTGATAAAATAACCCTGGCCGAGCGAATACCCGGGTGGACTGAAGTACTTTCGCGGAGTACTCCTTTCTGCGTTAAAAATAAAAATATATATTGAGTTTTTGTTATAAGGTGGTTATATTTGTTGGTCACCATGCACATTGAACGAAAATTTGAATTTTCGTACTGTACTAATACACTTTACATTTTATTACGTAATATTATTATATAATATTACTTATCTTCTTCTTCTTATTCTTGATTGGCGTAGACACCGCTTACGCGATTATAGCCGAGTTAACAACAGCGCGCCAGTCGTTTCTTCTTTTCGCTACGTGGCGCCAATTAGAT